ATCTTCCCCCTTCGCCGCACTCACCTTCACACTCCCCGGCTCGGAGCGGCTGTCCCGGCTTGGCCAGTAGGAGGAGGAGGCCGGTGACGGTGAGAGCTCCCGCTGTCTTCATTCTTGTCTTCTTCTCAGCCCGCTTAGCCTCTTCTCCTCAGCCCGCTTAGCCTCTTCTCCTCAGCACACCGGCACCGTCGCGTCACCTAGCAACCCCGCCCACCCCCGCTCAAAGCCTATTGGCCACCGGCGCCGGGCCGCTTCCACGCTGCAAACGACGATTGGCGGGAGAAAAATGCCAGTAACACGTCCCGCACCGCCATTGGCTGAAAGTCCGGCCACGTCTCGCGCGGATGGGGGATAGTTGTCGCTTCGTGATTGGCTGAAGCGCAGACTGCGGGAAATACGGAAGCCGCGCGCCATATTGGATGAGGGCAACTGCTGGCAAAGTCGTTAGAATACCAGCAATGGATGCGTGAAATAGAACAGTGAAATACAAATTGTATGAAGTGTTTAGTAATTGAACTGGCAGTTTACACTCATTATGTATTCATCCTCACAATAAGTAAGATTTCAACGTGGGCGTGGCTTGTCTTATAAAATGACAGTCGGTGGCTGTATAAATAGGCGGGGCCGGGGGCAGGATGGTCACGTGTGGCACTGTAAAGTGGTGATGGTTGGGAAGCGTTGACGTCACTAGCAGGTTCAAGGTCAATCTGCTAATCCTCAGGGGACCCTCAGCATCCTGTGGAGGAACACTGGTGGAGCATGGCTGCCATGGATGATGTTGGGAGCTGTAGTCCTTTGGCAGTTGGAGGGTAATGGGTCGCTGGGCCCAATGCAGATAATATTTATCATTGTTGGGGATGGCGGAGTTCTCTGCGTCACCATTATCTATATTGTGTCATTCCAGCAGATACAACGGCGGACGTTTTAAGAGTGCGGGGGCATAGCATAGACACCTAAATGAGTTCTGTGCATTTCCAGATGAGCCTGGAGCAGGTATAATACAAGCCCGTCTGAACCGACGCCCCACCGAACATGGAAGTGCTACTCGCCCAATCACCTGCGGGCCGGGGCATCTCCCCACCCTGAACCTGCAGGTAAAAAAAAAAGGATGGGCTATTTGTGCTGATGTCATTGGCTAAATATAGTCATGTGGCCATATAAGGTCAATGATGTCACTATATCCTGCTCCTCCGCTTGCTGGGGGCGGGGAACTTCCTGTCTGCAGCTGATTGGACAGCAGTGGAAGGAGCTTTCTTCCGGATTCAGAGGAGCTCATCCCAAATCCTCATTGTTATATATCGCAATCCTGAACATTCCCAGTAACGTCGCTGGTACCGTTCCCGGTAACGTCGCTGGTACCGTTCCCGGTAACGTCGCTGGTACCGTTCCCGGTAACATCGCTGGTACCGTTCCCAGTAACCCAGTAACATCGCTGGTACCGTTCCCGGTAACATCGCTGGTACCGTTCCCAGTGACATCGCTGGTACCGTTCCCGGTAACATCGCTGGTACCGTTCCCGGTAACATCGCTGGTACCGTTCCCGGTAACATCGCTGTTACCGTTCCCGGTGACATCGCTGGTACCGTTCCCAGTAACATCGCTGGTACCGTTCCCAGTAACATCGCTGGTACCGTTCCCAGTAACATCGCTGGTACCGTTCCCAGTAACATCGCTGGTACCGTTCCCAGTAACATCGCTGGTACCGTTCCCAGTAACCCAGTAACATCGCTGGTACCGTTCCCGGTAACATCGCTGGTACCGTTCCCGGTAACATCGCTGGTACCGTTCCCGGTAACATCGCTGGTACCGTTCCCGGTAACATCGCTGGTACCGTTCCCGGTAACATCGCTGGTACCGTTCCCGGTAACATCGCTGGTACCGTT